GTTGGGCAACTATTTGATCGAATTCAAGCAATGATAACATTAGATAGTACAATCGATCCAACTCAATTCTTCAATTGAATTATATAATATTCGATGTAATAATTTATATAATTATATATCGATCCAAATATTCTTAAAATATTTTAACAAATTCATTCCGTGCATCGCACGGGCGAAAATACTAGTAACTAAATAATAACGAACTAACTCAAAACCATTTCGAACACTCGCTTGAAATGAAAGCTTTGGACGTCACCAATACCATAAACAACTGGGTGAACTCAACGTGATGGATCGAACAAGCTTGGGATTGGACCCTCCCCCGAAATGTAATAAAGTGTTGGAAAAAATAGCTTAAAATGGCATAAAATGGCATATTAAGTGGCTATTTTGTGGTACAATTATCAGTGAGGTCCACTTCCGATTGGGTCGGGTCAAAGTGGATTCGGGTTCTTCGTAGTGAGATGAAGAGATTGATATATTGTACGCTCAAAACGGATAATGGGTGAATGAGATATTGATTCTCAAAGTAAACCCATCCATTTGAGTTGCGAAATGAAGGGAAAAAGTGAGCTTTGTCCCACATTGGTTTGGAAAGTGGATTTGCCCCCCTTATATACAAGAGCTCTTTTGAAGCTTGTAGAATTGTATAGTATAGAGGCTCTCTCGCGCGGGGGGGGGGGGGGGGGGGGGTGGAGGAAGTGCAAATCAAATTCCAACTAGAAACAAGATCGAAAAGGCTTGATTCAAGCCCGAGCCTCTCGTGCTACAGAGAGCAGGAGAGGTTGTGGTGCATCGGGAGCACAACTCTCGTGCAACTGTGAACACGAGAGGTGCACTCTTGGGTTACACCACAACACGAGAGATTAAGTGGCTGTTACAGGTGTTACACGATTGGTTTTAATACCAATTAATGGTTTTAATACGTGCTTTGTAACGAAAACTGTTATTATGTTACAAACCACAATATACTAGCTATATTAAACTTTCACCATAATTGGAAATATTAATAGAAAATGTTACCATATGACTCATATAGATCTCATCCATAAAAAGCGAAATCCTTTGTCCGAATGGCCTCTACATTCCAACTCGACAAGATAGATTATGGCAAGGAATAAATCGCAGTACTTAGCAGTTCATTAGGTGTGATGACTAGTGTTTGGTACTCTCAAACACCTCCATAAGAGGGTGAAACTCCCACACTACTACTGTCATGGCTCAGTCCTGTATCCTTGCACACAATTTATCACCTTGGAAATTAATTAAGCTACCTGTTTCGTAACATATATAGTTAGCTTATCAGTCAGTTTTGACTTATTTAACCACTATTAGCTGTTTGAATTGGTTAAACATTCAAAATAAGTGTTTGATTAATTAGCTTTTTGTACCAATTTATTGCTCCAAAATGCTAAAATTCAAAAAGCTACTCAAAGTAACTTTTTCAATAAGCTTTTTGAGAAAGTCATCATTTTGCATGTTATCAACTAATCAAATCCATTAATCCAATCAGCTAACCCAAACACCTCTCGTATGTATGCAAAACCACATAGCCATTTTCACATAAACTTTTAACAGAATACACATAAACTCATAACAGAATACACATAAACTCTTAATATAATACACATAAAATCTGAACAATAAAAACGACATCGTTTTAATCAGGATGCACAATGCATCGTACGCCCTGATGCACGGTATAACGATTGTCCTTTAACGCTACTATTCAATATTAACTGTTATTCTCTATCCTTCGACTTTATCCAGCCCAATTAGCACCTTTTGTGGTATGATTGAAATTTATATTTTACGGAGTAATAAAGAACCATCGTTTTCGCCAACTACCATATAATGTGATGACAACTCAGTTATTTATCTAAGTGATGGTCAAAGGTTTGAATTTTGGTGGTAGGGGTTTAAATTCTTTGAGCTGAAAACAAATACTACCTTGTAAAGAATCATAAGTATTTAAAAAAAAAAAGAACCATCTTTTTCAAAGTGATATATATATCCCAATTAACGTAAGTCGCCACAACTCATTCAAAATGTCATTATGTCAAATTGTCAAACATATGAATATATGATAGTTCAAAACAGTTCGTCATCTCTCGTATGGATCATCTGATCCCCTACTAGTCCGTACCACATTTTCTGTACGTGGTTTTCGTCAATCCGAAATTTTAAAAATAAAAATAAAAATTCAAGCATGACAAATAAATATATTACGTTATATTTCTGTTATAGTCAATATAGCAACATTATTTATTACCTCAAAATGAGTGATCCAATGTGTTATACTTAAAAATTTCGAGTTTGATTCTTACATACTGACTAAAGATCTTGTAGTTAAGTGGCATAGCTGCGATATCTCAAATGAGAGGTTATAGGTTCGAACACCAATGTTAGAATTTTAACTATTTGTGCTTCAGTAGGTTGAGAAAGTATGTATGAGTGTTGAGGTAACTGGGCTAAAACTGTAATTATTATTGTATTGGTGTATAGTATCTATTGGAAATATAGCTAGCTAGCTTCTTTACACCGCAATTAAACACTAACATTATATGACCGGCAATTAAACACATTAACATTATATGACCGGTCAAGAACTTTGTAATAGAGTCAGTAGCATTCAAAAAAAAAAATCACTATTGAATTGGTTCAATATGGATTATTATTTTTTTAATGGGAAAACCAACAATCATTATTATCTGAGAATGTACATTAGGTAAACCCTATTCTTGTGTAATAGAGGGCATACAAATCACACACGAGAGGTAAACTGCACTAGAAAAATTTAGTGAGATGAGTTCGACTGAAAAGGTGTTAAAAATAATCGAACTTGTGACCTTCAAGTACTTCATATTTCTTAATTGGTCACTATAAAATACCTTTAAGAAAATTAAATGGGACCCATGAATATAATGTGAATAAGATGATGCGCCTTTCTTTCAACATAACAGTGGTCTTTTTTTTTTTTTTTTTTGAGTGATGGAAGAAACATACAGTCGCTACTCGAGAATGCACATTAACCTTTTGATACTAGCCAACAAAGAACAACAATAAGATAAACCAATCTAGTGTCCAAAGCTCTCATGTTTAAGTCTTAGGAAGGCAAATATTAAAAGTATGACTTATACTCCTTGCATGATCAAAAAATGCTTCCTAGTGAAGCTTAATTCTCTTAGGACTCTGTAATTGTGTTATACTAGGATTCTATTCCTACTCTTGTATTTATATTTTGTATTTGTTAATGATAATCTCCGTCTTTCCGTTCTCATTTGGTATCAGTAATTTCAGGTTTCTCTATGGCAATTGAGTCTCCGAATTTGCAAGATACTTCTGTTGGAGCCTCATCCGATTGGACTATTTCCGAGACTATTGCTACTATTCCTGCAGTGCAGTGGCTAACAACACTACTGGAAATTCTGAAATTTCCGACCACCTGAAAGTTATCTTAAATCAAGTTAATACCAAAAAGTGGTCGGAAATAGGAACAAAGGTTTTTCCGGATACCAAAAGTGGTTGGAACAAGGCTTTTGACTTGATTTAAGATCACTTTTAGGTGGTCGGAAATTTCATAATTTCCAGTAGTGCAATTTGTTATCCACTGCCTATCACTTTGTTTCCATCAAACTTACTGTCCAGAATTATTTGTTCTGAAGAACACAATTATTATTATTATTATTATTATTATTATTATTATTATTATTATATTTTTTTTTTTTTTTTTTTTGCATGGACAGAATCTGTTAGGATTTCTTGATGGTCCATACCCTGTCCAACCGATGGTTGAAAATCAAACAAAGAAAATTAAACAAAGAGATATCTTGTAAGTCCGTCCAAGCTGTACGTTGCTGTGCACGTTTTGATAGCTAACCACATCTAATAGTCAATATTGATGAAGTAAATGTAAAATTTAATTTGACACTTTTATATTTTATTATCAAATTTGATTCTAATAATTAAATACTGGAATATAATAATATGATCTATTTTTTTAAATGAGATAATATTCTTTCTTGGGATAAACTCAGCGTCAGATTAAGAAATTGTTGCCAAAAATTAGAAATTAGAGCAAATGAAAATCAATATATGAAAACTAAACAAAGAAAAGTAGACTATTCCCATTTTTGAAATTAGAGCAACTGTTATATTTATATGCCCAAATGTAATACTAATTAGGAATAAAATGTTTATTACTTATAAGAAAAAATGTAATACTTTTTTACATTTTGATATAAAAATATTATAGTTTCCAGTAAAAATATTACATTTACCCTAAAAAGTAATGTTGATAAGTGTTTGTTACTTATAAGAGAACATATAATACTTTTGAGAAAATTAAATATAATACTTTTAAATCAAAATATAAAAATGCCAAACACCTTGTACTTAGATATATGGCACCCGGGTTGGATTCCCATATGGGAGGTTGTGAGTTCGAGTCTCAATGGAAGCATTATTTTACACTTATGGTTATTTCCATCCCTACTTTTGAACATTTGAAACAAAAACAAGATTTTTTTTTTTTTTTTTTTTTTTTTTAAATTCATCCTCAATGCATTCAATGTGGAATGTGTGTGCGCGCTTGCAAATACAATTTTATTTATTTATTTTTCTTCATTATTAATTATTTAGATTTTAACTTTTTTTTTTAATACTATTGACTCTATTACAAAGTAGTATTTGGAGTTCCATCCTATGACCTTTCCTAAAGGGAGCCACATAAGTGCCAAGGAGAAGCTGCTTGGCAATTTTTTTAAACTTTATTTACTACCAAACAAATTATAATTATTAGGTATTTAATTCTAAATTTCTATTTGCAATTTTGAATCTAATGTTTGAACCAATTGAGCCAGTTTTCTTAAATTCATATCTGAGAGGGGGAAAAGTCCAATTCGTATATATCATCTTTTGATCCATTCTTTGTTGCATTATTTTAATCACACGAAACTCTTTCATTTTTTCCTATAAATAGGAACAACTAGTTAGGCTAACATATTCAACAATACATACAAAGTTTTCAATCCCATAAATTTACATTGTTTGATCCAACAAGGTGTAGAGAGCAAATATGGCATCCGTTTGCAAAGTTGGTTTCTTCACCATCCTTGTGTGTGGTACGTATTGTATACTCAACACTTAGCTTTTACATACATACATATATACATTCTTTTTTTAGAATATATCCCAACTGAATTCGTCAGACAGTTGACTTAGTAACTGCAAAATTTCATGTCCTACTCCTCATGGTAACAACTCATTGTCCTTCTGGTTAAAAGGCGGACCCAACGAAGATTATCAGGTTGTTAACTTGGTAACCACAATGTTACAAATTTGACTTCCTGTAAGAGTGATAAGAGTAGCATGTTGGTATTCTTGATTTGAGTTTATCAGTGCTCTGGGGACCTTGTTGCCTTACCACAAAGTTACAAATTTGACTCCCAGTAAGAGTAATCTATTGGCCATTCTTGAGTTGAACCAATCAGCCTTCTAAGGACCTTGCTAGGCTGGGTTACAAGAAGAACCCTTAGCTTGATAGTGAATACATATTTCTTTCGTCACTTACTCAAAAAAAAAAACTTTTTTTTATAGAATTTATCAGTCCATTCTTACTTAACCTTGACAAATAACAATACTCTATATACATTTTGATAGGTATTTTTCTATTGGGAAGCAATGTGGAACTAGCAACTGCTCAGACAGTTTGTCTAACGGTTTGTGAACCTGAAGCAGCCTATATGATCTGCCCACCAAACATAAAGACTGAACCAGTCTGCAGCAATTGTTGTACCCTTGAGAACACTGGTTGCCAGCTCTACCGTTCCAATGATTCCCCCATTTGCACTTAAACCAAATAATCTCTACCATATAATAATGTCTCAATCATCATATATACATGGAATAAGATTATTGTAATAAGACTTTGAAATAATTACGCATGGAGGTGATGAGGCTATTAGTATATAGCTAGTCTATTGCCTTCCTTGTAAGACAAGTAGTTGTAGTTATTGTTGTGATGTTCCAACCCCACCTTCGTAGTGTGGTTTTGTTATTGTTATTGAAAAGAAAACATTGGTTTTATATATACTCTTATTGTGAAATGTATGAATAAATAATCATATCATATTTATGTTCACAAATTATGATACAAGAGTTTTTTTTTCAAGAACAAATAATTACAGTGTCATATAGAGTTAATACACAAAATGGTCATCGACTATAATAACTTTTTTCATATTTCATCCTAAACGACTTTGGCTCAAACCCATGACCCTCTCATTTGGGAGAGCCACTTCATGCCACTAGACCACAAGGTCATATGTTTACATTATTGAATGGCACAAATCGAGGTATATCTGAAATATTATAGAGAAACGCGACTTTAATGCTTGGCGGGAAACGATGGGTAGTAGTAACTTTTGTGTTATTTGGCATTTATGTGTAGTTGGAAGATTTGTCGATCTCATTTTTCGTCTATCCTAGGTTCGTGATTATCTCTGCCACCAGCCTGCATTTCCCACTTGGTTATTTTTAATGCAATCATTTATCTTCCTTTCAAAAAATATATAGATGGTGTTTATGTTGTAACCTAAGCAATCCGATAATCAATGACTTATATATATAGCCTATGTGCTAGGTAACGAAAACAATCATTTACGTTACAAACCACAATATAATGGCCAAATTAAACTTCCACCATAATTTGAAACATTAATAAAAAATGTTACAATAAATATGACGTCCCATAGATACCATAAATTGAAATATTAATAGAAAATGTTACAATATGACCCATAGATCATGCTCAGTATAGGCAAAATCTCTCGTCCCAACTGTCCCTACACATAAACCTGACAGGATTATGAAGGGATAAATCAAGATAACTTAACAGTTCATTAAATAGTAAAACCCTTGCTTGGTGCCCACAAACACCCTTACAAAAGGGTGAAACTTCCACACTGTATGACCGTCAAGGTTCAATCTTGCGTTCTTGCACAAAATCTACTACTCAAAAATAATCTGAACTACCCGTGCGGGCACCAAATTCAATTCTCACCTCGTATGTATGCAAAACTATCCACATAGCCATTCCCCAACATCATTTCTAAAATCCTGACTTACTATTGTTATGCCTAATTACCCTTTAGTGCTACTACCAATATTAACTTTTATTCTGTCCGCATGGACAGCTCAGTTGGTCACAGGGGTTATGTTTGGGAACAATAATGATCTGAGATTGAGTTTTACCAGCGGCAGTGTGGAAGCAACCTCTCAAAGTGAGGGGGGCTCCTTGTGCGCAATAAGCAAATGTCAAACCCCTGTGTTCAGTGTTGTTAATGTGTGAACTTGGGTTTAAATGTGAACTTGTGCACTGGTTTCATCCGTTCATAACGAATGTAGGCACAACTCATTTGAAGTTTCATTATGTCAAATTGTCAACTATAATTATTACTATTGCAAGATCGTATCATCCAAAATGTTTAAATCAAGTAATCTCAACGATGATGATAATAATAACAATAACAATAATAATGACAATAACAACAATAATACTAATAATGTCATAATGTAGATGAAATAAGATTGTAAGACTTTTGGATAACTATGCACGGGGATTGGGGGGTGAGACTACTACTGTAGTCTATTACCTTCATTAATTGTAATCAAACCTCACCATTGTAGTGTGGTTTTGTTGTTGTTAAATGTGAACTGTTTTGGTTGTTATTACTTCTATTTGATTATATTGCGAGGAGGAATGTGCTAATGCATGCTAATTTAAGCTTTAATTTGGCAATCATATGAGTGTACAATTATTAAACCCGATAAAAAAAAAATAATAAGTGGATAATGAAAATAAGACAATGTAATAGAAAGACAAGTGATATGAGTCTCAGAGGCAAAGTATTGTATTAATTCGTTGTGTAGAGCTATTACAGAAGGATTGTGCTTAGACCAAGTAGATGAAGATGTCTTAATAAGAAAATTACACTAATATTTATACTTATGAGCCTCCTAAAAGTCCCTCTAAAATGGAGGGATTAGTTGCAATTACTATACTTAGACCATTCATGGCCTCGAGGTCGGGCCTATCTTGGCCCCACGGCCTACGAGGCCGAGCCTTATGCTGAGGCCGAAACCGAGCCCTAGGCTGAGGATGTACCCCAAACAGAGGCTGAAGCCCAGGTCGAGGTTGAGCCCCAAGGCAAGGCCGAGCCCGAGGCCCATGCCGATGAGCCCGAGCCCTAGGATGAAGCCGAAGGCGAGCTCAGGACTCGGCCCCGGGACCCCGAGTCCAACCGGACTCATATTGCATCGCTCTTCCGGGTTGATTTGTTCTTGGTTCAACTCTAATATATCCATCACCAGCCTGAGAAAAATAATTGAATTAATGATAGAAGTAGTAATTTTTTATTAATTATTTTTTATATATTGAATTTGAGTGTATATGTATACAAATGAGTTAGATATAAAAAAGAAAAAAATAGTTCAAGTTTTTTTTTTTTTTTTTTTTTTTTTTTTTTTTTTTTAACTGTGTGTAAAAATATGGATGCATGATTCATGATTGGATATCAAATTTACAAAAATGTATACAAATCATTAGGCGTGAATGTAACATAGATATTTGACTTAAAAGAAGTTTAATCTATACGATGAAAAGAAGATCATATATATATATATATATATATATATATATATATATATATATATATATATATATATATATATATATATATATATAAAAGAGTTCAGGGGCGGGCATACATTTCCGTGTAGTCAGTGTTGTTGCACCAATAATTACGCAAATATGCACCAACAATGTTAAAAAATGCACAAATTAGGTACATATCACAAAAAATGAACAATTAGATATGAATAAAAGCATCATATAGTGTTCGAAAATGCACAATTAGGGAGTGGGAAGTTATGATGCATTATTTTGGTGTGTTGTGCGTTTTTTTTGGTTATTTTATGCATTTCATTGTTGTGCATTTTTCTAACATTATTGGTGCATTTTTCAAGTGACCGCACTAACCGCACGGGAAGGCGCGGCCGCATATGAGCAAAAGTATATATATATATATATATATATATATATATATATATATATACATATATATATAACGCGCCACAAAAAATGCATCAATACACCACTAAACATACATTAGGTACGCATCACCACAAAACACACCACACAGTGTTCGGAAATGCACCATTAGGTGTGGGGAGGTATGATGCATTTTTTGGAGTGTGTGGTAGGTGAATTTTGTGGTGCATTAGTGCATTTCATTTTGGTGCATTTTCTAATACTATTGATGCATTTTTGCATATCTAATGGTGCAGCCACATGTTAAGGCTTGGCAATTTGACCCTCGCTGGAGAAGGCGACCTTGGTGTCTTTTATGTGACCGGATTCACCATGCACTTTTTTGCATAAAATTTAATGGTAGCTGGAACTCTAATGACATGTGATAGCAGGTCATTAATCAATTTTTAGACTGTATTGCATCAAAATAAATTATTAATGGATATAATTGCACATTTAAAAAGTTGAAGAGGCTATTTTTTTAATAACTTTGACAAAAGATCCTTATATATATATAGGAAACAAACTCCTCGTCTCTCTTCTCTCATCCATCTCCACTTCACACAGAAGCTATGCAAAACCAAGAAAAAATGTCAATGCGAATGGTCTAATTTTCTTTGTTTGGTTTTCAATTCAATACTGAAAATTATGGAATTTCCAACCACCTGAAAGTGATCTTAAATTAAGTCAAAAGTCTTATTCCGACCACTTTTGGTATCTGGAAAAACCTTTGTTGCTATTTCTGACCACTTTTTGGTATGAACTTGATTTAAGATCACTTTCAGATGGTCGGAAATTCCATAATTTTCAGTAGTGATTATTGATTTATATCTATTCTAATTTCTAATTTTTGGCAACAATTTCTTAATCTGACTCTAAATTTATCTCTATAATATTATCTCACTTTAAAAAAATGATGATATTGTTATATTATAATATTTAATTATTAGAATCAAATCTGATAATAAGATATAAATGTGTCAAATTAAACTTTATATTTACTTAATCAATATATATAGACTATCGGATATTCGGATGTGGTAGCTATCAAAACGTGCACAGCCACATCTTGGGCCCTCTAACAAGCTACCTCTTTGTTTAATTTTCTTTTGTTTGATTTTCAACCATTAATTTTCATGCTTTGAGGTTGACCCTTGAATTGATCTTCACTAGGAAGCATTTTTTGAACATGGAGTATAAGCCATATTTTTAAGATAAGTATTTGTAAGGCTTAAATCATGAGACCTACGTACTTTTGGACCTAAGCGAATTTATCTTTTTTGTGGTTTTTTTTTTTTTTTTTTTTTTTTTTTTTTTTCACTAGCATCACAAAGCTAATGCATGTAAACTTTCAGGTAAGGATTACGGGTTTCTCTAGTCATTAAAAAGACAAAAAGAAAAAAGGACGCCAATTATGTTGGAAGAGAGGCACACTATCTTATTCACACTCCATGGGTCCTATTTATAGTTTTGTTAAATGTATTTTATAGTAACGTATTGATGAATATAAAGCACTTGAAGGCTATTAATGATCCTTATGCGCTATAACTTGAATGCGGAAACACAATTAGCAATGAATTACATGTAAATCAAATCGATCAACTAAACAATGTTTATGATCATGAATTTTTAATTAAACATAAATAAAGATAAAACTTAAAACTTACTTGTTCCGTTGAATAAATCAATAATGTTTCACCTCTGATGATATGGTGACGGGAAAACTTAGAGACTAGAAAACTTTAATAATCTCTAGAGTTTTTCGGTTATTTATAGATATAATGAGAAACCCTCATTCAAGAGAAATAAAAAACTTATTTAAATAGAACTCTTTTTAGGATGTGAAACCTCCTTTTAGGAATTGAAATCCTTTTAAGAATACGAAACTTCCTTTTAAGAATAGAAATCCATTTAGGATATTGATTTCTCACGTTAGAATTTGACTATAACACAAATATAACACAAATATATATTGATTTCTAACGTTAGATTTTTTTT